CCTCTGTAAAGATGACATGGCATGTAACAGAACTCATGTAGAGCTCAGGAGCATATCATGCACACATTAATCATGGCAAAAATGACAAATATCTATTTGATGAAACAGATCTGACAAGTTTATCATATAGCCATCTTCCAACAGCATTTCGGGTATCAAGATGATCTCAAATGAAAATGACGCAATGAGATGAAATAATGTACTCGTCGAGACGAACATGTTGATATGCTACACGTGTAAATCAGAGCTACAAATGCAGAGATATAGCATGCCAAAGTTTGCATAAAATTAGGGTTAGTAGGAGAAAAGTCAACCCTCTCCTCTTTTAGATCCAGATCCAGCATTGTTCACGCACGCCTCCCGAGGACTCCGGCGAGGTTGCAGGGCTCCGGCGAGGTAGGACGGATCCGGCCGGCGAGAGGGCAGATGGGTCGCCGGCGAGGACGAGGAGGTGTGACACGGTGGCACGGCGAGCTCCGGTCGGCGAGAGGACGGCGCGGTGGTGCGGCGAGGTCCTGCCGGCGAGAGGACGACGCGGTGGTGCGGCGGCAATGGCGGTGCGGCGGCCGGCCGGGAGAAGGAGCGCCGGGCGCGGGGAAGACGGGAGGCGCTCCGGTTGGGCGCCTCGGCCCGACTCGGGCGGCGGGAGGGCCGGCCACGGGCCTAGCGGGCCAGCACGGTCGGTGGCGATGTGGGGACCGGCCCAGGGACAGGTGGCGGCATCTGACTGGTGCGGCGGGGTGGAGAGGACGTGTCCGGCCGTCCGGATTTCGTCCGGCGGCTGGAGGAGAAGGGGGTTAGGGTTTCATCCGCGAATTGAAAAGGAGGGTTCTTTATATAGGCGTAGAGGGAGCTAGGAAGCTCCAAATGGAGTGCGGTTTGCGGCCACGCGATCGTGATTGAATGCTATAGATGATGGAGGGTTTTTTGGTTGGTTTTGGGCCAAATTGAAAGGGTGTTGGGCTGCAACACAAACGAGGCCTTCTCGGTCCCTCGGTTAACCGTAGGAGTATCAGACGAAGTCCAAATGGCACGAAACTTGACAGGCGGTCTGCCGATAGTAAACCAAGGCCGCATGGAAAGTCTAAGTCTAATCCAGAAATGTTTAACCCCCACACACGAAAAGAGGTAGAGAGGGGCACCGGAGTAGATAGGAGCGCCGGAATGCAAAACGGACAACGGGAAAAATGCTCGGATGCATGAGACGAACACGTATGCAAATGCAATGCACATGATGACATGATATGAGATGCATGACAAAGGCAACAACACACGGAGATAAAACCCGAACCCGAGGAAAATGAAATAACTTAGGCTGGAAACGGCAAGAGTTGGGATACATATAAGGTAAATTACATCCGGGGTGTTACACATAAGGTGAATTTATTATGGTCCAGGACAAAAGAAGTTTTCCATTTTCCCAAAAAAAATTCATGGTACATAAAAGGTAATTTGCCATAATTCTATCTAATCCCAGGCAATTGTTTCTACCAAAAAAAGAACATAAGCTTCCCATTTCACCTCTATTCCCACCATCTCGTCGTTCAACCTTTTCTGTATGATAATCAATCAACTGAATTTACTTACCTTCTGCAGCAATTCCGCTTTAATTTACAAGCAGAATTTGATGAACATTTATTTACACAATCACATTACTATTGACTGATAGATCACAAGCTAACGTAGTAGAATATTTATATCTGTTGCAAAGCATGGGCATTGTTCTATGCAATGTTACATATCGAAAAGATGAGGGCAATTTCTACATAATATATGTGCAATTACTTGCTAACATTGAAACAAGTCTCAGCAGAGGTCTCTGTGGGATTTGGGGTGGCTGAGAACGAGGAGTAAGGGAGAGGCGTTGCATGCGCTTGCGGACTGAAAGTGGAGACGATGAAAGGGAAAGACGGGTGTTTCTCTCTTCAGAGCGCAGTAGTACACCAACTAGTACAACGCTAGAAGTACATCGCATGAAGCAAACGGCCTCACAGCTCATTAGTACAATCCCTGCAACAGTACACCGCGTGTCCTTTCCTATCCTACATGGACATGCCGAGGGAGCGCTCATTGTGCGTAGCTAAATGTGTTTGATAGATCCCGTGCGTCTCTCCTCCCTTTGTCTCTCCTCCTGAGGAAAGACGGCTAGGGATTTTGCCACCACGATCTACCACATCTTCTTCTGTGGCCTTAGGACCATGGGTGCATGGTGGATACCGGTCTTTGTCGGTGGGAGGGCTCGGTTTTCAGGTACTTCTTTGAGTTTTGTTAGGGTTTCTGTCCTGCTCAGGAAGACGAGACGACAACAGTTTTTTGAAGATGAAATAAGGTTCTTCCCACCTAGCCCCCGTCCCGGTGGAGCGTCTAGCATCGTCGGAGGGCATGTGGATGTGCATCCTTGGCAGATCTCGGGGGATTCGGTTGGTGGTTGTTTTTGGTGGATCTTCTCGAATGTGGTATTTGTTCCTCTTTGTTCCTGTGCCTTCAGGGTTGGATCCTTTCAATCAAAGGCCTCCTTTGGTTCATAGGATAGAAATGTTGTAGGAATAGAAAAATCATAGGAAGTGAGATGACATGCATCTCAATTCCTATAGAGAAAGAGATGTCATTTGATGCATAGAAGAGAAATTTTTCCATTGAGTCTTAGCTAATGTTTTTTTTCCTCCAAAATGTGAAGGATTGATTCCTATCCTATATAGGAATAGGAATCCATTCCTACAAACCAAAGGGCCTCAAAGGAAATTTTCCTATGCAAATCCTATCCTATAGAAATTCTATGACATTCCTACAAACCAAAGGAGGCCAAGATTCTGGCTCCGGCGAGGGAAGGGCGATGGTGGTGGTGCGCTTTCGGCTCGCTTCAGTGCTTGTAGTCATCACTAGGTGTGTACAAATCTGCATGTAATTTTTATTATTTGTTGTGTTCGTTGTACTGCCATAGAAAGTGAGATAAAGAAATTACTCAGCCTTATTAGGTTTGAAGCCAACAAAAAGTTGTATATGAATTGAAGGTAAAACACTAAATCTTTTTTTTAGTTGTTGATTGCTTTTGACATAGCTATCCACTTATTCCAAGCGGTAGTAAAACACTAAATCTGAATCGAACATTGACATACGATGGGTAGTCCAAACATTGCACATGTCCGCTAGCAAACTATATTCTCACTTAATCTTTTAAAGTCACCTAAGTCACCATTTTGTGTCATGCGGCCCCTTGGGGCAATCCACGACCTTAACTGACCCACCAACATCGGCGATATATAAGCGGCCTTGGAAGGACAACACGTTAATGAGCATGTTGACCGGACTGCGTTGGGCACTAAACCACCGGGGGAGAGGGTTACTCGGATCATAGCACACTCCACTTAAACAGCCAAGAAAGAGGAAGACGAGTGGCGCCGTCGCGTCGGCGGTCACAGCGACGCGGGAGCATAGGCGACGAGACGCAAGGCCTGAAGGGAAGCGGAGCATCGAAACGGTGAAGGGGTTGAGGATACACATGTCGTAGCCATACCGAGTGTCCACTTCCAGGAGGGTAAGACCGTCGGCCGCGACATAGGTGTAGGCACCGTTGTTGAGGAGGGGCACGTTCTTCCGTAGGAAGCGCCCGGTGTCGAGGTTAAGAAAGAGGCGGGAGTCGACGTGGTGGGAGAGATCGTCGAGCATAACCCATCTATGGGGACGGAAGCGGCGGCTTAGCCCGCACGGATCATCGGTGGCGGCACGCCAGCTGCGACACGCGGCACGGAAGGTCATGTAGGAGTCGACGTCACCAGCAGAGAGGAAGATTTCCCCAACGCAGTTGACGAGGTCGGGGGGCAGCGACGACCAGCCCACGGACGCCGCCGGCATGGTCTTCCCGCGCGTGCGCCGCCGGTCCGGCATTGCCACTTTCTCTATCTGGTTGTATGGTTGATCTCCAGCTGAATCTATTTGGATCTTTCTCTCCGTTACCGAGGGAGGATCAAACAGTGTCCCGCTCGGACTAGAATTAGAATCAATCACCGTTTTCATATTGAGTGGTACATCCGGTGCTTCCCTAACACGGTGACAAGCCAAGCTGTGCCGACTTCATATCTCTCTACATTTGTCGTCTCGTAGACGACGACGACCATGATGAAGACGAGACTGTGGAGGCCAAGTTCAGTTTTAGTTTCATCGACCAGGTCAAGAAGCACAAGCCAGTGTACATTCGTGGAACTAAGACCTACAGCTTCTCCCGCAGTGAGACGTCCCAGGGCATCGAGAAGTTCACAAGGAAAGATGTCCTTGAACAATCACGTAATATGAAGTGTGATGGTTTCACCATCCGATGCGATGTCATTGTTTGCAACACCGAGGTTGCCGCCACCCTTTCTCATGATATATGTCAGCATTTCAACAATCTTCTTCAAACCAAGGTGGGTGCCGACGTGATGTTTGATTTCAGCGGCAAGACGTTTGCTGCACACCGGTGTGTGCTTGCTGCCTGATCAACTGTCTTCATGATGCAACTCTTTGGCCCCATGAAGGAAGGCACCACTACGTCTGGTGTAATACAAACAGTTTGTCTAATTCACATCTAGATGTTTTTTAAGGATGTCACATCTAACCTCCTACAAGTATATAATGCATCAAGATGATATGCCGGCTCAGTCTCTTGGAGGTGCTCATAGGGGTAGGGTGTGCGTGTGTGCGTTCATGGGGTGAGTGTATGCGCATGTATATGAGCGTTTGTGTCTGTACTGATGCTCAAAAAAAACAAGAAACAAAAAACTAGGACAAGAAAATAAACCATAAACAGAATAAAAATCAGCTTAGATGTCACATCTAGATGTGTTCTGTGATACAAATCAAAGACATTGACGCAACATATTCAGCGCTTGACACAAGAGAGACGCACAAAAGGTGGCTCTCGCGATAGGATAGGCGACACGCCCATGCCCCGCCCCCTGGGTGCCCCTCTCGACTCTGGAGGTGCGCGAGGTGCGGCGACTGCGAGAGACGCCCCAGCGGCAGCCATGGCTGCGGAGGCGGCCTTCTCGGCTCCCCTTCCCGTCCTTCCCTTCCCCTTGCCTGCGCCGACCGCCACTCCGGCGCCGGCGGACAACTCCAAGTCCTCCAGCCCCTTGCTTGGCGGCTCGCCGAACCCGCCCCCTGCGTCGGTATTGCCGACGCCCGCGTCTTCTCGCACCGGTGGTTCTGAGCTTCCCTCGGAGCCGCTCGTGTCCGCCACCACGCCCGAGCAGCTTACTCTGGCGACCGCCTTCCGTCGCGGTTTACTCGCAAAATCACGGCCGGATTTCCTCGTGCGCCGGCCAGATCCTTCGTCGGCGCCGTTCATGTTCACTCCCGGCGACGCGCTGCTGCACTACGTCCTCGAAAACTTCTCTTCGCCGGTCTTCACCCCCGTCGCCCCGGCCCCCGGGCTCGACCAAGTCTTCTCCGACGCAGGTTTGGATCCAAGTTCTCCTTCCTTCCCCTCCCGCTACTGCTTCCACGGTGCATTCCCTGGTCTCGTTCTGGATTGGCTCCTCGTTTGATTTACCGATAATGCGGCAGATTGGTCCTAGTTTGTTCTTGGTTACGGTACGGTGGCTAATGCGCGTATTGCTCAATTCATTGTTTCACTTGAAGGGATCAATCATAGAGGCGTAGTCGTCCTTTTCCATGCCAGTGAACCGAGCCCCATGTTGCTATGCCGATCTTACTTTTACGCTCCTTTTCCTGTACTACAGTCTGCAACCCCTGTAGCTAGAACTTTAGACTCAGACATCAGTGGCATGCATGCAATGCTAGACAAGGGATCTTCGTCGCCTTCCTCGCTGTGTCCCAGCCACGCCGATGTCCTTCTCGCCGCATGCGCATGCGCATGCAAAGGGCCCGTCGGCCGCTGCTTTCTGCCGTAGCCCAACAGTCCAATGCATGGATCCCATCATCCCTGCGTCCTCAGTCTCAGTTCACTGCTTGCAGCCAATCAACCGCATTCCTTCGCATGCTCCCTCTCTCCCTCGGAGGCGTGCTCTGCCGCTTGAACCAGGCGCTTCGGGTATCCTTTCTCTACCGGTGGGCCCGGTCCAGTGGATTACGTTCGCATCGGCCCTTGGTTGTTTGCCTGCTCAACCTGCTTGTACCAGTGAGCCCTTCACGGGAATTGATAGTGGCGCTGCTGCTTTGCCTTCGCCTACGCTACCTAGCTCCATGGTCGTTGGTTCTAGTGCGAGACCATACTCATATGCCCATGCTCTCCTTGCCCCACCCCCTCTGTTTGAGCGGCACACTGCCCCCCTCTACCCCTCAGCTTTTCCTCGTAGGCCTTTCAACTGGGGAGCTCGTTGCCATCGCTGCCTCGCGCTAGATCACAAGCTCGCCTTCTGTCGGGACCCGGTCCGATGTCGTAGATGCTGGCAGTTTGGCCACCTTCAAAGACACTGTTCGCCCCATAAACTCTTTCCTTCCTCTACTTCTCCCCCCATCCCCTCGGTTTCTCCTGCCCAATCTCTTTCGACATCATCCCTGTCCCTCTTGCCTTTGCTGCGTCTGACGCGAACTGCTCCTACCTTGGCTCCAACATCAACAAAAATTTGTCAAACGCCATGGCGTCCCCGGTCCAGCCCTCTTTGCAGGTGGCCACCGAGAATGACATTCATGAAAAGGAACCGTCCGTGCGGGTTCCCCATCCGCTACTTCAGCCCATCGCTCCTCTCGACAACTTTGCAGCATGTGAGGTCGAGTCCGCCGGGGATTCTCCCGTCAGGGGGGCGGCTGCCTTACCCCTGGTCAATGGGGCTGAGACCGTAGCTCCTTCTGCGGCTATGACTTCCCCTCCCACTCATCAGCACGAGATCGCAGTTGTCGCCATCCCGGTTACCCCTGTCATCGGTCCTGCTGGGGACATCGTCGTCGTTCGTCCTTCTCCGATTGCCTCGGCTAGGCGCAGCTCCCGTCTACAGGATTCCGAGGAACCGAGATACCTCACCATGCTAGAGAAGGCCTCCTTGCGCAAGAAGATGAAGATGGAAGGAAAACGCCAGCCGGCGACGTGAAAGGCGCTACCTGCGGTGGAGCTTATGGAGCTTGTTGACGCAGGAGACGTGGACGAGCCGCTGACGCGCAAAGACGTCGTCCAGCTTGCTGCGGCATGTGATGTCTCAGAGGAGGCTCTCGATGCGTCGACTGCCGGTTATCATGAATAGAGACCTCCGACTCATCTCTTGGAACGTTAGGGGCCTCGGTCGCCCCCCTAAGTGTTCCGATGTTCCTTTTCTAAAAAAAAGTGTTCCGATGTTAAGGCAGCTCTACAAAACTCTTCTGCTTCAATTATCTGTCTCCAAGAAACCAAGCTCGAGGAGATTTCCATGTTCAAAGCGAATTCTTTTCTTCCCTCTAATGTGCGTGATTTTCATTTCCTTCCTTCTGCCGGTGCATCTGGTGGCTCACTTATCGCTTGGAATGCCGACGATTTTAAGTGCACTCAGGTGCGGCGAGATTCCTTCTCTATTTCATGCTGGTTCGAGTCCAATTTATCGGATCTCTCTTTCGCAGTCACAAACGTCTACGGACCTTGCGCTCATGCCGAAAAACAACATTTCTTAGACGAGCTAATCACTATTTGCCCTACCATTAGTGTCCCTTGGTCTGTTATTGGAGATTTCAACCTTACTTTAAAACCTTCCGACAAATCTACGTCAAACTTCAACTCTTCCGAGGCGGCTATGTTTGCAGGTGCAATCAATTCCATGGCGCTCCAGGAAATCCCCTTGCTGGATCGCCTTTTCACTTGGGCAAACAACCAGAGTAATACAATCTTGGTCAAGCTCGACCGCGTTTTCGTTAACTTGGACTGGTCAACCCATTTCCCGAATTGCACAATTCGTTCGCTCACGCGCACAACCTCGGATCATGTTCGTCTTCCATAAACATTCCCAGGCCTTCGGTTTTCAGGCTAAACAACTGGCTATTAAAATCCGAGACGTTCTCTGCTGAGGTCACAAAAAACTGGTTAAGTGTGCTTCCATCTCCCTTGCTAGGTTCTGCCGGCCAATTGTGCAGGAAATTAAAGCGTGTGCGTAATGTCGCTAAACGTTGGACCATCGGTGCTAAATCTCCTAGGATCCTCGCGCAAAATTGCACCGCTGCTATTGACTGGTTGGACAAGCTTGAAGAACGACGTGCTCTCTCGCCTCTGGAGGCCGGTCTTCGAACGGCTGTCAAGTGCTCTTTGCACAGGCACAATTCCTTCCTAGCTAATTATTGGAGGCAACGTGCCAAAATCAGAACTTGTACTTTGGGGGATGAAAATTCCAAATACCTTCATGCTTGCGCCTCAGCTAGGCTTAGAAAGAATCAAATTCAATCTCTAGAAGTGGACGGCTCTACCATCTTCTCTCACTCCGGCAAACAGGCTACTCTCCATAGCTTCTTCTCAAATTTGCTTGGCCAAGCGGCCATCAACAAATTTGATTTTGACTTGGGTACTTTACTTAACTACTCCGCTCTCACTACCTCCCAAGCTAATGCCCTTATTCGCCCTTTCACTCTTAACGAGATTAAAGTGGCACTAAACTCGATGGATGACAATACAAGTCCGGGCCCGGACGGTTTCGGGCCGGCTTTCTACAAAAAACACTGGGATTTGGTGAAACATGATCTTCTTCTTCTCATGAATGAGTTCTTCTCTCTCAAAGCGGATTTAAACAGGTTAAATAAAGCTTTTATTGTTCTCCTCCCTAAAAAAGTAGGCGCTACACACCCGGACAACTTTCGCCCCGTGTCTCTCCAAAATTGCAGCATCAAGCTAGCCTCCAAGTGTCTCGTTAATAGAATCCAACCTCACTGCCCTTCTCTTGTTCACTTTGACCAATCTGGTTTTATTAAGGGTCGTAGCATTGCTGAGAATTTTATTTATGCAGCTGAGATCGTCCAATCCTGCCATCGTCGTAAGGCTCCCGCTTTCGTTTTGAAACTTGACTTCCGCAAGGCTTTTGACTCTATTTCGTGGGACGCGCTTAATCAAGTGCTGGCTGCTAAAGCTTTTCCCCAAAAATGAATCGATTGGCTCACTAGTCTAAACCTCTCTAGTCAATCAGCCGTTCTGCTCAACGGGATGCCTGGTCCATGGATCCAATGTCGCAAGGGGTTACGCCAAGGCGATCCTATATCGCCTTTTCTTTTCATCTTGGTCGCAGATGTGTTACAACGGCTTATTATCAATGCTTGCAATGATGGTCTTTTGTCTCATCCGCTTGTCGAGCACCTACCTTGCCCTGTCATTCAATACGCCGATGATACTCTTATTATTTGCAAGGCCAATTCCACTGCTGCTCAAAACCTCATCTCGACTCTTCAAGTGTTTTCCGCTTCAATGGGCCTACACATCAACTTTGATAAAAGTACTTTCGTGCCTATTCATGTCGAACACGATCTGGCAACCCTTTCAGCCAGTATACTAGGGTGCTCCATCTCCTTCTTCCCTCAAACTTATTTAGGCCTTCCTCTATCCTCCCACAAATTAAACCTTTCGGCCTTCCACCCAATCATTGCTAAGGAGGACAAAAAGCTTGCGGGTTGGCGAGGCAAGCTTCTCTCTATAGACGGCAGGGCTGTTCTTGTTCGCGCATCCCTTAGGTCTCTCCTTACTCACGCTATGTCTGCCTTGCTTCTTCCCTCTGGGACTATCAAAGCCTTTGACAAGCGTTGTCGTGCCTTCTTTTGGGCTGGCCAAGAAAAAGTCAACGGTGGGCAATGCAAGGTTGCATGGGAGACCGTTTGTGCTCCATTCTCCAAAGGGGGGTCTCGGCTTCACCTGTTTGCGCTCTCAAAACCTATGTCTCCTTTTCAAACATCTAGCAAAAATTCACTGCCCAGACTCTCCCCCCTGGGAGTCCAGGATGGCATCATTATATGGCTGGTCCAATAACCGTGACCTTGGTGACGCCTCTCCTCTTGATTCCTTGGTTTGGAAAGACCTTTCTAAAGGTTTGAATTTATACCGTGATATCTCCAAAGTTTGGCTTGATGTATGGTTGACCGACAATACGCTTGCTGCTCGATTCCCTGCTATTTTCTCTCACTCTACTAGGCCGAATGCTTCGGTGGCTAGGGTTCTAGGTGATCCGATTTTGTGTTTGGACCTTCGCCCCAGGATTTCCTCGATTGCGGAACAGGAACTTGCCGCGCTGCGTGTTATGATTGCCACTGTAACTCGGAACCCTTTAGTGGCTGACCGTCGTGTTGGACGTATCGACAACAAGCCGATCTCGGCAAGATTAGCATATGCTTCTGTGTTTGCAGCTAGGCCGGAGGACAGGTACGCCACGGCTACTTGGAAGAACTATGCTCCAAATAGGTGTCGGTTGTTCACTTGGCTAGCCTTCCGGGACAGACTATTTACAAATGATCGGCGTTTCCGGCATGGGATGTCAAGCTCCGATACTTGCCCATTTTGCGATGAGCGAGAAACCACAAGTCACTTACTGTTGAACTGCCACTCTATCAAGTTGCTTTGGGACAATCTTCTTCTTCTTCGGCCTCCAGAAGTCGAACATATTCAAGATATTTGGTCTAACCCCTCAATTGATAAAGTTCGCTCTACAGTTATCATTGCCATTCTTTGGTCTATTTGGAAGCGGAGAAATGCTATGGTCTTCCGTGCTCACGATGAGGATCTGTATGTCACTCTACGACGATCTGGAGAGGATCTTGTGTTCTGGTCTAATCGCTGCAAAAATGCGGTCAAGCAGACCCTTCTAAAGGACTGGGGTTCCATGTTGTATCACTTATCTGCGAGAATTTAGCTTATCATCTGCCATTTGTTGGGGGCTGACCCCTTGTAATCTTTCTTTTCTTCATCCTATGTAACTATCTAAATGTTGTCATCTTTCCCTGGCTAATATAAGTTCAAGCTGGCGTAAGCCCGCTGTAGTTTCCCGTCAAAAAAACATATTCAGCGCTTTGCTCAGCTTCATTTACACTGACTCGTTTCCAGAAATGGAGAAGGATGACATGGAGGAGGACGAAGCTCAAGACGTTGAAGAAGAGGATGCAATGAGGTTGGAATGGCTACAAGACTTGTTTGCAGCGGCAGACAGATATGACCTCGAGCAGCTCAAGTTCATATGTGAAAAGCACTTGTCCGAGGAGGTACGCGTGAGCTCGGTGGGGTCCACTCTTGCTCTGACCGAGCGACACCATTGTCACGGTTTGAAAGAGGCATGTTTGAGGTTCATCCAAGCCCAATCCCTCTCATGCCTGCAAAGAATAATGGAAACTAATGGCTGGGAGTATTTGAACAGGACTAATCCCTCTGTTTTGAACGAGCTCATTACCAAGCTTGCTTCGAACCAAAGCAAATAGCACTCTATATATGGTACGCATGGATCCTTAGAGCTAGATGAGAGAGATTGTGTGTGCGTGCGTGTGTGTGTGATCCTATATAGTTACAGTCTTGATTTTGTCTCATCGTGTAATTTGCATATATGCTCCTGAATCAAAAAGATCCAACTCATGGGCAAATTGTCTCTCCATGAAATGGATGGTCTATTAATTCGAATGTAAGCGTCAACATCAATGTGCATTGCAGCACAGTGCAAGTTCACTCGCTAGTCGTTCTACCCTCGTATATTTCTCCGTGCGTTTTTTTGCGAGTGCATTTCTCCGTGCCTTTATGGCCGTATGCATCATTCTGATGCAGAGGCCGAGGATTAACCTTCTTTTTGAAAAAAAATTCTCTATGCATTTTTTTTTGCGGTTGGGTTTCTCCTTGCATTAATCATGTCGGGTTTCTCCTTGCATTAATCATGTCGTATATTGTTCCTTCAACTGGGACGGTGGTATACTAGTTATCTATATTCTCCCTCGCAAAGTTCATATGTCTATTACTTTGTCTGTCTGTTGTATATAATAAGTAATGTGTATTTCCTTTTGGCAAAAATTTCACAATGTAATATGTATTTATCTTTTTCTCTCATTTTTTTAGTGGGTGCTCTATCACCATCCAGTACATGCCTTAGATAGAAAGTAGTACGTAGTCTCCAATAGGAAGGTAGTAAAATAAAATTCTCTCTCCTATTTGCACGCGCTCGCATTTCTTTCTCCCTCTCATGCCATGGATTGATTTTACTCTGGCGCAGCAAGATTTAGTTGCTTTTTATTATGTCGCCAGTTATTTAGTTGCCGCTAATTAAGCTGATAATTACCTAATTAGTTAAGGGTACTTTCGTCAAGAATTCTTCTCAATTTGGTGCCTTGTCACCGTGACCCAGACGGGCGCCTCAAACGGGCCTCAAACGTCCGGACTGGCCAGCACCCCTTATATCCAGCCAAAATATGGGGTGGATATGGGGACACCCAGGCGCGCCCGCCACGTCGGACTGACGGCGATGTCCCACGTCCGAACTTCATCTCCTCCGTCGGGCCGATGTACCACGTGGCGCCACTCCGGCGGGCCGCGTAGTGCCTAGCCTGGCTATTTAAGTCAACCATCGGCACCGAAACCCTACCATCCACATTTTCCTCCACTTATCCGCCGTGGCCGCCACTTTCCACTCCTCGTCCGCCTAGTAGCCATGCCCCCACTCCGCCGGGTGAGGAGCTACCCATTTCTAATGCGAAAGCACCGGCTGGAGCTCCTTGACCAGATCCGGGCAAGGCGCGAAGCCCGGATCGCCGCGGGGCTACCTCGGGATGCAGTGGATCAGGAGGAGCAGTTGGAGGAGGACGACGAGGAGGATAAGCCGAAGGAGGATGTGGGGGAAGCTGGCGACGTGGATCTGCAAGCGGAGCAGCAGGCGATCCTCGATTCCCTCCACTCGGAGTCGACTACGGATCCCAGACGCCGTCACCGGCAGGAGATGGAGGCCCAGCAGGCCGCGAAGGAGGCAAAGATGCTCGCCTACATGGATGAGGTCGAGCAGGAGGAGGATTGGCCGGAGCCCTCCTACGTGCCCGTCCACCCGGTGCCAGGCACAAACGTCGTGGAAATCTCCGATGACGAAGATTAGGTAGGGTAGTACGTAGTATGTAATACGCAGGAGTTATTTTGCATGCTTTGTATGGATCTAGGGGTTAAATATGGGAGTCGGATGCAGAGTGGCTAATTTGAGGCGTGACCGGTTACGGGTGCGTCCGCGGGCGTTTAGGTGATCGGATTTGTCAAGTCCGGTTGTAGATGCTCTTAGACAATAAGTCGAGACAAAACATGTAGCCAAGCACTCTTTTGTTAGACAACCTCACAAAGCTTTTATTAATTCATCACAATGTTTACAGGGATGGATGGAAGGTCTCCAGGGTGTCCCAACCACACATGGCGGCCACCCCCGATAGATAAAGCATACTTTGCTAAGTTGTGAGCTTCAACATTCGACCTCGTCATCTCATGACTAAATTTACAAAAAGCAAAATCCAAAGAGTGATGTATGATTTCATGCATGATAGCACCATAAGCTGATGAGTTCTCCTTCTTCAGGTCCTCAACCACCACCTTGCAATCATAAGCCACATGTACACGTCTTTGGTAAAGATCATCTGATAGAGCTAAAGCTTCCCTGATTGCAATCGCCTCCAGTGTCTGTGGATCTACAATATATCTAAGAACCAGCACCGAGGCTCCCAAGAAAATTCATTCCGAACTTCTGCAGACCGCCCCCACTGCACCATACATGGCTCAAAATTGCAGCGTCAATGTTTACCTTAATGCATCCCTCCTCCGATGCCTGCCATCGGTTTGGTCTCAGGATAGACGGAACAGCCGGCTTTCAACATTTGGAGTTGATAGCCCGAATTTCAGCAAGGTAGCTTGTGATGAACCCATTGACAGAATGCGGAGATTGATATATATATCTTCATAGATCGTTTTCCTCCGTGCTCCCCAAATAGCCCATATGGTAACAGTCAGCCGCACGAAAGAATCCCTGTCCAGAATATCATGGAGCGTGAAGAGCCACTCCCTAGATCCTTCCTCCTGCCTGTCGACCAGTTGAAGTACTAGGTCCTCTAGCGCTTGGGCCCAAACACTGGCAGCCATCGGGCACGTGAACATGGCATCTCTCAAGTATCCCCCGCTCCACACAGGTGACATGTATCTTTAGTTGACATGTGTGTCGATGTTTCAATAGCTCCCCAGTTGGCATGGATTGTCTTGCAAGCCGCCACACAAATGTCTTTAACTTCAAGGGGACCTCAATAGGCTAAATTTTGCTCCAATGATCGCTCTCACTCTGCACGGTAGAAGATCCACCTTGTTCATTCAGCCAGGCCTCCCGACTGTGTTTTATTTGCAGTAGCATGCGGTAAGCAGAATGTACTGATGTCTACTACACAACCTTCTTCTTGTAGACGTTGTTGAGCCTCCAAGTGCAGAGGTTTGTAGGACAGTAGCAAATTTCCCTCAAGTGGATGACCTAAGGTTTATCAATTTGTGGGAGACGTGGGATGAAGATGGTCTCTCTCAAACAACCGTGCAACCAAATAACAAAGAGTGTCTTGTGTCCCCAACACACCCAATACAATGGTAAATTGTATAGGCGCACTAGTTCAGCGAAGAGATGGCGATACACATGCAATATGGATGGTAGATATAGGTTTTTGTAATCTGAAAATATAAAAACAGCAAGGTAGCAAGTGGTAAAGGTGAGCGTAAACGGTATTGCAATTCTAGGAAACAAGGCCTAGGGTTCATACTTTCACTAGTGCAAATTCTTTCAACAATAATAACATAATTGGATCATATAACTATCCCTCAACATGCAACAAAGAGTCACTCCAAAGTCACTAATAGCGGAGAACAAACGAAAAGATTATTGTAGGGTACGGAACCACCTCAAAATTAATCTTTCTTATCAATCTATTCAAGAGTCCGTAGTAAAATAACACGAAACTATTCTTTCCGTTCGATCTATCCTAGAGTTCGTACTAGAATAACACCTTAAGACACAAATCAACCAAAACCCTAATGTCACCTAGATACTCCAATGTCACCTCAAGTATCCGTGGGTATGATTATATGATATGCATCACACAATCCCAGATTCATCTATTTAACCAACACAAAGAACTTCAAAGAGTGCCCCTAACTTTCTACCGGAGAGTCAAGACGAAGACGTGTGCCAACCCCTATGCATAAGTTCACGAGGTCACTGAATTCGCAAGCTGATCACCAAAACATACATCAAGTGGATCACGTGAATATCCCATTGTCACCACAGATAAGCACATGCAAGACATACATCAAGTGTTCTCAAATCCTTAAAGACTCAATCTGATAAGACAACTTCAAAGGGAACACTCAATCCATTACAAGGAGATAGAGGGGGAGAAACATCATAAGATCCAACTATAGTAGCAAAGCTCGCGATACATCAAGATCGTGCCGTATCAAGAACACGAGAGATAGATAGATAGATAGATAGATAGAGAGAGATATCAAACACATAGCTACTGGTACATACCCTCAGCCCCGAGGGTGAACTACTCCCTCCTCATCATGGAGAGCACCGGGATGATGAAGATGGCCACCGGTGATGGATCCGCCCTCCGGCAGGGTGCCGGAATGGGGCCCCGATTGGTTTTTGGTGGCTACAGAGGCTTGCGGCGACGAAACTCCCAATCTAGGTTTCTTTTCAGGGGTTTCTGTATTTATAGGAATTTTTGGCGCTGGGAACAAGTCAGGGGGGGTCCCCGAGTCGTC